CCCAGCAAGTCGATCCCCCACCTAGCGAACGGTAAGGATATGGTCATCGGGGTGTAAAAAGTTGCAGACCGCCCAGGAACTGGTGCGTAAAGCTGACATATCTTGCACTTCCTCGTGTGCTCGAAACAGTCCTGCTGAATAGTTGGCCAATAGTATCCTTGCAAGATGATCTTTCTGGCCAGGGTCTTTGGTCCCTGATGGCTGGAGCAGATGCCTTCGTGAATTTCTTCCATCACAGCAGCTGCCTGAACGGGGGGAAGGCATTTCACATATGGCCCCCCGAACGTCTTCTTATACAGTTGTCCGTCCACCAGTTCGAACATTGGGGCCCTTCGTTGTATACAAGTGAGGTTGTACACGTCATTTTTATCGTTCGGCAAAGTCCTACCCCGCAAGTAATTAGTCAAGTCAGTGACCCAGCTTGGGACGGCATAGTATATGGCATCTACTTGTAAGACCATCGTCGCCGGTGTGGTCAGTATTTCTCTTTGTGCGAACCTCTGGATGTGCGCAGGAATGCCCGGGGCATGATCATCCCGGACGGCACATTCTAGCTTGGATAGGATATCCGCCTCGCTGTTTTCAATTCTGGGAACCTGGTCAAGCACAACCTGTTCAAACCTGCCGATTTCTTCCTCAACCAGTTCCTTGTAGGCTTTTAGCCGTTCTTCCCTGACTTCGGCTGATCCATTAATCTGGCTTACCACTAGTTGACTATCTGAACGAACTTTTAATCTGCTGGCCCCTAGGGCCTTGGCATACTTCAATCCTGCAATAAGGGCTTCATACTCGGCCTCATTATTGGTTACCTTGAATTCAAACTGTACAAAGTAGTATGCCTTGAATCCCTCGGGGCATGTGATCACAGCACCCCCACCACAGCCTTTGCTGCTGGACGCTCCATCCACATACATTTCCCACCAATGGTCATGCACTTCCCTATCTGTTCCTTCTTCAGTTGATCTGGCAGTGCATTCAGCAATGAAGTCAGCCAAAGCCTGACCCTTGATCGTGGGGCGGGGCTTGAAGTCTATTTCATACTGCCCGATCAGGAGGGACCACTTAGTGATACGCCCACTTGCCATAGGATTTCTCAGTATGGTGGCCAGGGGCTGGGTAGTGTATATAGTGACCGGATGTGCCTGAAAATAAGGTGTCAGTCGCTTGATGGTAGCAATCAATGCTAAGATGGTCTTTTCCATCAAGGTGTACCTGGTTTCTGGCCCGTTCAGGGCTTTGCTAACAAAGTAAATAGGGCGCTGAACACCCATATCTTCTTTCAACAAGACTGAGCTGACCGCCAGATCAGCTACAGCCAGATACATATACAGATGTTCCCCTGGGTCTGCCTTTGTCAAGACCAGGGGAGAAGATAAGTACAACTTGAATTCTTCAAAAGCTGCCTGGCATTCTGCCGTCCACTCGAACGGGTTGGCCTTCTTCATTATTTGAAAGAATGGAATGGCTCGTTCGGCTAATTTAGCCATAAATCTGCTCAAGGCTGCTAATCTTCCGGTCAGCTTCTGAACTTCTTTCAAGTTCTGCGGCGCCTCCATGTCCATGATTGCCTTTACCTTTTCAAGATTAGGCTCATTTCCCCGTTCGCTCATCATATAACCCAAAAATTTGCCCCCCTTGACTGCGAAGGCGCACTTTTTTGGGTTCAGCCTCATGTTGGCCTTCTGCATGATCCCGAAGACCCTTTCCATGTCCCGGACATGATCCTCCTTCTTTCTGCTCTTGATCAGGATGTCATCCACATATGCTTCCATGGTCACTCCCAGCACTTCTTTGAAGAGCATGTCGATCATCCTCTGGAAGGTGGCCATGGCATTTTTCAACCCGAACGGCATGACGATGTAGCAGAACACACCGTCCGAGGTGACGAACGCAGTTATTTCTGCATCATCCGGGTGCATGAAGACTTGGCGATAACCCCGGAATGCATCCATAAAGCTCAGCAGTTCACACCCGGCTGTCTCGTCTACCAGCAGGTCTATTCGTGGGACAGGATAGGGGTCCATGGGGTAGGCTTTATTCAGATCGGAGTAGTCCACACACATTCTCCAAGTAGACCCTTTTGGAGCAAGGACCACATTAGCCAGCCATTCGACATGGACGACTGGTCTAATATGCCTGATTCTCAGTAAGGTGGCTACCTCCTGCTTTGTGAATTCCCGCCGTTCGGCCGTCTGATATCTTTTCTTTTGTTGGACTGGCCTGGCATCAGGCCGAACGGCCAACTTGTGGCATATGAGAGCCGGATCAATCCCCGGCATGTCTTCGGGTCCCCGGGCAAATAGGATCTGGAATTTCTTTAGGACAGCGATCACCCCTTCCCTGATTTCCCCTTCAAGGTCCACCCCGATCGCAATTTTTTGATCGGGAGGGGAATCAAGCTCGATGTACTCCAGGAGGGTGGCTGGTTCGGGACGTCCTTCAACTTCTGTGCGCCGGGTTTGCACCTCAATGCTGTTTACCCGTTGTCCCCGGGTAGTCATTTGTTTCAACGCCTCCCTATAGCACGTTCGGGCTATGACAGGATCTGTTCGGGCCACTCCTACTCCAGTGTCAGTTGGGAACTTTATGCATGAGTGTCGAACAGAAGCAATTGCCTCCAGATCTTCCAGCCCTGGTCGGCTCAAAATGGCGTTGTGGGCACATGCAATGTCCACCACTACAAAAGTCATCCGGACTGCTGCCCGATGGGTTTCGTCACCAATTTCAACCAGAAGTTGGATGGTGCCCTCGGCCTTGATTACATTGCCGGTGAAGCTAGCCAGCAGTGTCTTCAGCTTGGTCAGCTGATCCTTCTTCAGCTTCATCTTCTCCAACGTGCGTAAATACAACACGTTCACACTACTCCCCGTGTCCACCAGAACTCGGTGGATCAAGGCTTTGTCTATACACATACTCACCACTAGCTCGACCATGTGCGGACTTGGTGAGTTGGGTAGGTCAGCCACCCCGAACGTAATTGGCTCCAGGCGGCCCTTCTTTGTGGGTGGTGCAGCTACAGTGGCGACATAGAGGCTGCGCTCAAATTTCTTACGTTCGGCGGCCGTATCCCCGGTCTCTCCTCCACCAAAGATGACTTTGACTTCCATCCTTGGCTTTTTCCCCGGATTCCCGGACCCCTCAGCCTCCTCTATAGGGGGCGGTATGAATCATTACTTGGCTCTGCATCCCGCTGGACATCCCGCTTCCAGCTATTGGATCGGGGAGGGCGTTGGTTGGGGGAAGGGCTGTTCAGGTTGGTGCTGACATACTTTCTCAGGTATGCTTTCTGGATCAGGTCCTCGATTGCCACATGTAGGGCGTGGCAATCCTTCGTGAGGTGTCCATTCCGCTGGTGGTATCTGCAGAAGGCATTCGGGGTAGGTCCCATCACGGGCCTTGTGTCGGTAGGGGGAGGAATGGCATTCTTTTCCAAATTAAAAATGCCAGCTATAGACATGACCAGGGGGTGAAGCACGCAGTCCTGCGATGAGGTGCTGTAGCCGCTGGTGTGGGCCCCAAACGTTCCGCCAGCCTTGAAGTGGGAGGCTGCGGTGCCGTTCGGTCCCTTATCCCGAACGCGCCCGTTCGGGATAAAGCTTCTACTTGGAACATTCTAGGAAACAATTACGCCAAAGTGCCAATGCCCAGATCCCGATCGGCGTTCGGGATACTTCCATTACAAGATAACACCTATGGCGGGGTCCCACACACCGAACACCTTGCCCGAACGGGCAGTCAGCAAGTGGAAGCCGCATTTAATGCTGGATCATGTCGGCTGCAAGTGGGGGCATGAGTGTCCACCTTACCCATCCCCATTTTAGTATAAATACCCATGTTTAGATCATTGTAAAGGGTTAGCATTTTGATACTCAGAGCTTAGCAATAGATTTACATCTCCTATCCTTGTATTCTCATACTCATCTACCGTTCGGGTAGTTCCATTGTAATAGCATAATTACTGAATACAAGTAAGCTCCTGAGTTTGATAATATCTCATTGTTTTATATTTTATACACTTTTCAACCCAACCCAATATCCCTACAATATCCAGAGCTTGTGTTGGGCTTTCGGATCTTCGGGAATAAACCTCAACAATAATTATAATTAAAAATGTAATTACCGTTATAATTATAGCTATAATTATAATTAATGTAATAGGTTTAATTATTATAATTTTAATTTTAATTTTAGTTACTACATACTCCATTCGTTCTTTTTTATTAGTCCCTCTTTGCTTTTTGGGACGTTTTTTTTATTTGTCTCCTTTCCCTTTAAGGAAAGTTTTTGAGAAAATACCCTACTTTTATTACTTCTACCCCACTTACTTTTTACAAACTATTTTCTCTTTCCAACTTTACCATCACCTTACTTTTCTTAATACACTCTCTTTCCTACTTTATCATCACTTTACTCTTTTTAATATATTATCTTTCCTACATTATCATTTACCCCACACACTCTATACTTACCCTACTATTTTATTATTAAAACCCGTGTCAAACCCTAAGGAGACTAATAAAAAAGAACGGAGGGAGTATAATTTTTTATTTTAATTATAATTATTTTTTCATTATGATTATACTTATAATTATATTTAAATAGTATTTATAATTACAATTATAATTACAATAATTATAATTATAATTATAGAGATATTCAAATCAAATCAAATCAAATCAGAAAGATTCAGATTAGATCAGAAGGATTCAGATCAGATCAGAATGATTCAGATCAGATCAGAAAGATTCAAAATCGGATCAGAAAGATTCAGATCGGATCAGAAAGATTCAGATCAGATCAGATCAGATAAATTCAGATCAGATCAGAAAAATTCATATCAGATCAGAATTTAAAAAATTCAAATTAAAAACATTCAGATTAGGGGAAGAGATCGCTTCTAAGTAGCAATTTTAATTTTGCCTAAAAAAAGTACTAGTAGCATTTTTAATTAAGAATTACTCCGTAATAATAAATGGGCAAAATTAGTCCGCGAATAGTTACAAACTTACGCCAAGGCGGCAAAGGAACTCCTGGGACAGAGGATACATTGAGTTCGGCCAGACACTTTGCTTTATCGAATAGCTATGGCCGCCATCTCCGAGACAAAGCCAGAGAAGAAACCTGAACTGGATCACGATGTTACGCAGAAGATCGAAAACTTGGATTCTATCGGACAAGATACGAACACCGGACTCGAATACGAGTCTTTATCAGATTCTGACGGAGAATTCGTTAGTATCTGCTATTCTGCAATTCATTCGTTCAATATGTCAATACTTGCAGCGCGATAGTTCTCTTCTCATCACCATGTCATTCTGTTTCAGATTTATGTATGATTCAATTATGTCCTTTCTAGGTTTCACAATTTTTAATAATTCTTTGCTCTCAGGGCGGATATCTGGATCTTTCTCCTAGAGATCTTGAAAGTGAAGAAACTGTTGAACTCTGTAAGCTGGCACTTTCCCATTACCTGGAAAAACACGTATGTGAATATTTACTCATCACCTGAAAGCATTCCTCCATGAAATTTCACTTTGTCTCATTTTATTTATATAAAGCCACATATAATATGTCTGTCTAGGTAGGAGAAGCTTATGAGTTCGTGAGAGTTGAAAGCGGACGCATGTGGTTTAGTGTGGTGACCTTTTATGAGCTACGGTTTTATGCCAAAAATCTTAGGGCCAATAGTAATCTGCATACCTTTGAAGCTAGCGCACATACGTATTATTGGGATAAACCTGAAGAAAAAAGTGTGCAGAATTGTGTGCTACTGAAATGGGCGTGGCAGGGGATTGCTGCTCGGGTATGCATTTGCTTTACTAGTTTGCCATTTTTCACGGAATACCATCATTATGCTTCATCCATTAACTATGTAGCACGGAAATTCTCCGTTTCAAAAACTCCACGGAAACTCTGAAATCTTCCCCTTCACTCTGAAGGCTATGCCATCTTAAGGTGCTGCTAAATGGATGGATCTTATCAACGTCCTTAAATTATACATCCTATATTCATAGAAAACGTAAGGTCCTATCATAAAGCTTTGTATAGGCTAAATTTAGGAGTTGTGGAACATGCATCTTTTGAGCAAAAGTTGATGTTTTCCGTTTTGTCACGGTTTTCGCGTTTCTGTGCAACATAGGTTATTACTACTGTTTCTTTCATTCAATTTGAATATTTGATTAATATTAGAGTTGTATTGCTTTGCAATCATGTTTGCCTGATATAGCATATCCCTGGCATGCCTGAATCATCTATTGACATCCTCAACAACAAGGAAGCTGCAAAACTGGTTGAACTAAGCAAATTTGCCCTATCAGATTACCAGAATAACCATGTAAGTATCACCACCTCTTTTCCCTGCCTAAATCATAGTTTCTTTGCGTTGTATTCACTAACCTAGTAATTACTCTTGTATCTTTAGCCAGAAGAGTCTTATGAGTTTGAGAAAGTGTTGAAGGCCAAGTATAGGATTTACTGTGGTGTTGAGTATAACATTCTGTTTCAAGCCAAGTGCGTGTGGACTGAAGATAGAGCAACATTTCAGGCATTCGTTATTAATTATGTACAAGCCTCCCAAGTGGAAGATTGTGAGCTGGTTCTTAAGAAGGGTGTGAGTACTACCCAAAACAAAGCCGTTGACGTCCGCACTACCCAAATCAAAGCCGTTGATGTCCACATGAGTACTTATTTCCTCTTAAGTTTGTTATTAATCATTTACTTTGTGCTCAGCACTTGGTAGTTCACGCACCATGAAAAAGGTGGTAGGGATGTCAAACAAACCCCACACTAATGACACTACCATTCTATCTGTGCGATTGTGCATTGAACTTGTTATGGCTCGCCAGACTTCGTGCAATACATTTTAATGTTGTTGTATGGTTAAATGTGTATTTGTTTCCAATTGTAATGTGTATTGGTTTCCAAATTTGAACTCGTAAATTTAAATTTAACATGATTCTGTTTATTTTATATCAAACATTAACTCGTAATTAAAATTGATGAAATTTCATGACGTATAAACAAACACTTTTTCATTAGATATGTGTGTGTTATAGTATCTTCTCATTATTCTAACTTACATGCCTATGGTTGCTGTTAAGCATATTTATGGGACTGCATTTTTCTGTTATGTAATTGAGTAACTGAGTGGATGTTTTTTGAGAAAATATGCACCTTAGGCATGTATTCTGAGAAAAATGGGTAATTGAGTGGGGGCAGCTGCCCCCACCCTGGATACGCCCCTGGAATAAGTTATATACATCATATTCAGATTGTCTATCTGTTTACTGAGTGGATGCACCTTATGCACCTTCTGATTGTCTAACTCAGTTACCCATTTTTTTTCGATCTATGATATATGATGTATGAGGGAATGCAATTATTTATCAGTCTGTGGATATACTTTTTGAAGAAAGCTCGGAATCAAGATGCAGTAGTACCTTTAAGCAACAAGCTTTCAAGTTTCATACGAAGTATTAAGATTAGTCGAACAGTTCGACTAAAACAAGCACTTATTGTCTTATTGATAGAAAGCACCTAGTGTGATTGTGAAGATACATAAATTAGGAAAGGGTTTATAAATTGAAAAGGGAATCCCTGAAAAGTGTTTATGGATTCAAATATGAATAGGGAATTGCGGAAGGATCTTGTATCCTCAGATGGTTGATGTTTGTAAGAATGATTTATGGATATGTACCTCAAGTTCATTCACCATGATATGAGGAAAAAGAAGTAATCTGATTGGAATCTGGAAATAAGAAAGAAGAGTATAGCACATATGTCTGTTTGACAGAGGAAAACATTTTTATTGTCTCATTCAGAGAACATTTTTTGTGCTTTAAGCATGAAATTTGTTTTCAATTCTTGTAGTATTTACTATAAATGTTGGCTTAAATTTGATTGTAAACTCTTCTGGTCTATATTATCTATTGGTTTTTGTTGGGCAAAACTTTGTTTTGCAAAATTATTAGAGAAATTATTAATGAAGCTACTTTTCAGTTAATAAAGCTCTGGAAAGACAGAAGTTAGTTTAATTAAATTTGTGGATTAAATTGCCAATATTTAATAACTAACTTTTGTCAAATTTTAATTAACTTCTCTTCACCAGAAGTTAGTTTAATTAAATATTAAGTACCAAAAGTTATTTAGGCTGACTGTCTGTTAGAGTAAAATTTGTATGGGTATTAACTCAAACGTGACCAAGAGAATGAAAAACAAGTGAAAGTGGTTCAAAATTAACTGCTAATAAGAATATAGAATGAATTATGTGCTCAAGTAGGGCTATTCTTATTTTTACTAAAAATAAGATTTACTAAGTCTTAAAGAAAGATTGAAAGTTAATAGTTCTTTTTCTAGGATAGTTTGAGTCTTGTTTCCTGGGAAAAACAATAATGGCCCTGCAAGAAGTTCACCACATCCAAGGAATTAAAAGTAAAGAAGATCACTGAAGTCTTGGACAAAGAAGTATATGGATTTACTAGCACCGGCTCAAAGGAATATAGGATGGACTTCTCATCCATGCTGAATATAGGAATATAGGAATATAGAATTTAGCGTCTTATTATGTGACTTTAAGCTCTTGCTTTAGATAAAGTTCCAAAGCTTGTCTCTGATCCTATTGCAGTCTGCAGCTTGACCCTAAAAATCCACAACATTATATTACACCAGGTTCATAAATCACAATAATTAGCAGAGGACAGAAGAAAAGCAAAGAAAGATGGATCTCTAGTTACAGATGCTCACAACAAGCATTCCATCATTGTTTGGGAAGCCTCTTTTCTCTCTGTCTTACCAACAATGGAAAAATAATTCAATAGCAAAAAAAAAAATATACATTAATAACACTGACCATTACTATCTATTAATAACTCCCTTTTCTAGCACAGAGTATATGACATTATCTTTATGGTGCAAATAATCTTCACCTTCATGCATAAAACACTAAAAATGTAACCTGAAATTCCTATACTTAGTGCCAAAGCAACTACCAAACCACCACCCAAGCCCCATTTCAATGCCACAGGCCCCACCTTTATTGCAACATTTGAAATTTGGGAGAATGTATTAGTGCCTGATTTCTCATCAATAGTAATTTGAGTTCAGTATGTAAAACTATTGTTTGGATAACATCTTTACCCGCACCAAGACGGCAAGACCTAAGAAATTCATCTACATCTGGCCAAAAACCCCACGCTGGCTGAAGTCCCGGCAATCCCAAATCAGATTGTGGCTCCGTTGAAATTTGTGAGCACAGTTATTGAAGGGTTTCAGTACCTACCAAAATTAAAAATTATGAGAGCAGTCCCCATTTCCAATACAACGGACAATTTAAAATGAATCAATCAGATTTCATAGATGAATCTAATGCAGGGAATTCTAACGTCACACGAGAACAAAATAAAAGACATATATATATATATATATATATATAGAGAGAGAGAGAGAGAGAGAGAGAGAGAAATCATCTCATCAGGCCGGCCTGACGGGCTGCCCCGTCCGGCCGAGCCCGTTTGGGCACCTTCCCGATGGAATTTTTTGATGAAATTTTTTGAGCATGTTCCTCATCAAGTCTAGTTTGTCCATACCAAATTTCAGCTCAAAATTCGATCGGGAAGGTCGTCAAATGATTTTTGCAAGTTAACTGGTCCGGAATATGTATTTTCCGGACCAGTTAACTTGCAAAAATCATTTGACGACCTTCCCGATCGAATTTTGAGCTGAAATTTGGTATGGACAAACTAGACTTGATGAGGAACATGCTCAAAAAATTTCATCAAAAAATTCCACCGGGAAGGTGCCCAAACGGGCTCGGCCGGACGGGGCAGCCCGTTAGGCCGGCCTGATGAGAAGAGCTCTATATATATATATATATATATATATATATATATATATATATATATATATATATATATATACAATCCTTTACCTCTTTAGTTTAGATGATGAAGTAAATTTATATTAAACTGTCCAAACATGAAAGCTGGTTCAAGCGATTAAACCTTTCTGGCTAGATATAAGATGGACCTTAATAGCATCTATTTCGCACTCGATGAGAGGCAACTAGGTCCAAATCCACCCTTTACTTAATTTTGGCACCAAAGTGATAGAACTTAAGAGCGACGGTGGCAGAGCAGAGAAGAGACGGCGGCAGAGCCTCAAAGCGACGGCGGCAGAGCCTAGAAGTAGCGGAGCTACTGTCGAAATCGTGAGGTTTCCATCTCCGATGGTTGGAGAGAGAGATGCGGTCATGCTTCAGAGAAGATAATTTGCCGAACATAAGAGCCATCTCCAATCCTATAGGTGTATGAGAGAGATAGAAACAAAAATTGAATTTATGACATTTCTCTCTCACTCTTTCCACGGTTTTATGTGTTTTTGGTAAGTTTTCCTCTGCAATGTCAAGCACAATGTGTACATCTAGACATTGTGCTTGATATTGTGAATAAAAACTTACCAAAATGATACAAGATCCTTCAAATAAGGAGAGAGATATTCTATTTATTAATTTTTAATTGGCTATCTCTCATGCCACGTATGCATCGTTCACGTTTTAGCATTGGAGATGCTCTAAGGAGAGACCGAGAGATATTAGTCGAGGTTATATTCAAGTTTAGACAATTTTGAAATAAAAATGTTAAAAGTGAAAAGGGGAAAGGTTAGAGATGAAAGAAAAAAGACTATGAGTCATAAATGAAATACAAGGAGTAAAAGTGGCTCATTTGGGTAATTTCCACAAAAAATTAAGACCTGAATAATCTTATTTTGGGCCTGCCAATGCGGTCCGACCTGTGAATAAAGAGAGGATTTCTTCCCCTAATGCCATGGCGATGGCGCCCAAATGGCGAAGGCGCAAGAATGGTGTCGCCTCATGTATCTTCAGAGACACATCCTATTTGGCTATTTCATGGCGCAGGCGGCCTAAGCGTGCCTCATGGCGCATGGCGCACGCGCCATCAACAACCATGGTTGACCCATCGTTGATCGGGCAGACCCTCCTGGGTCTCATTTACCCTTCACTCGTTCACTTGCCCGAGTGTCCTCCCTATCCGCTTTTAATAACATAGCTTATTCGGGTATTTCCAATCCGGAGTTGGAATGCTCTTCCCCAAAATCCAGCCCCCCACACACCCATATGATATGCTTTTTTCTTCAATTAATGGAATGATAAACGGTCTAATTTTAGGTTTGATTATTCTCTTTTGTTTTGTACAATACGGAATAATAATCTTGTTTCTTATATTTAATAGTAATTCTTATAGTATTCTTTATTTGGGTTTTAATTCCGAGTTTGAATGCTTAAGTATGTAGATGTTGGTCCCGCTTAAGTTGGAAACAGTCTAGAGGGGGGGGGTGAATAGACTGTTTTGGTTTTCAAACTTTTCTCTAAGTCAGAGGTGACTTATCAGAGATGGTCTGAGTCTGGTGACAGAGATGGTCGAGTTCTGATAACAGAACTGGACTTAGCAGCGGATAAGGGTTCTGTCCGGGTGGCCTCGAGGAATAAACTAAGGCAAATGCCTTTTTGATAACTCTTAGAACACGATCTGGTGAACACAGAGTCCAAGTTCTTGGGAGTTATATAGTCAGATTCTAAAATGCAGAAAGTAAGTGCAGAAAGTAAATGACACCAGGGTTTTTATAGTGATTCAAGGAACAACGCGTTCCTCTAGTCCACTGTTCCACTAATCTTGTAAAACAACAGTTACAACGCCTTAGTCGCTAGAACTCAAGAAGCACTCCTCGTCTTCTTCAAGCCTAGTTGTCACCCGGGATGCTCTTCCTGGCTTCCTGATGACTGGTCTCGTTTCACTGAGTTTCTTAAAGTATCCCCACTTCACTACTCCAGCTAATTTGAGACGTCCCTTCTTTTTCAAGAAGTAATTGATCAAGGATCAGTTTTTCTCCAACGTTTGGTTTCTTCGTTATAATAGATGTAGAGATGAAGTTCTTGAATGTTTGAAGAACATAAGTAACTTTGCTGTTTGTTGGAATGAAGGATGTGGAGATGAAA